GATTTATTGACTAAGGTGGTCCGGCCCGTACAATCCGTGAATCTGCAACACTTCCACCGATGCTTTCCTCTTGTTTTTCTAATACATACTCTGTGTGTGTTACCTCGAGCTTACTCTACCGACTGATTTCTCGCTATAATCTATCTCACCCCATATCTGAACAGAACTTCGCCTGCTTGGATTGCTCAATCTGCGAGATCAGAGCACTTTGGACTCGCCCAGTCAACGATTCTCCTACTTGAACGAGGGAGTTCGTGTGCTTCGTTCGAAAACCAGTTCACCGGCACCCGTGGACTCAGAAACCGCCGCCCCGTTACCCGGTATCGGTAGTCGTGTCGGACTAGAGGATCGATTCCCGACCTCGAACGGCAGCACTCCGCACTCATCCCACTCGCCCAGTCTTCGTCGTTTGCAACATGCGAGCAGTTCACGAAGCAGTTTCGGTTGTGTCGAATCGTACAAAAAATTAGATGTATTGGGCGAGGGTTCATACGCGACCGTGTATCGCGGTTATTCACAGTGAGTATCTTTTCTCAACCAATTCCAATCCGGATCCGAATTTCCTGGATGTGGTTTTTCTGATCAACCCTTCTTTCACATTCACCCGCCTTTCTGTCTGTCTGTTTGTCTCCTGTCTGTCTGTCTCGGGTTTTCCCATTCGAGTTTTGCAATGCCTCACCTCATCAGTTGCAATCACTTGTTTTGTAGATCGTGTTCATCTCTTCCGCGTAGAAAGTTCTGTTTACTCTCGGTCTGATCCATCTAAACAAGCACCGCATTTTCCCATCAGCCCACGCAGATCATGTGAACCGATCCATAGGTCATTTTCAGTTGCACGCACGCGCACGTATGCATATAAATCCATGGTGGTCAAATTTTCGTGTGCCGGTTTTGCTTGCTGTCTTTTGGCTGCCCATTTAGATCAAATAGCAGAGGGTACAATGAAATGTTGCGAGTCAAATTCAAGGGGAAGGTAAAGCATTCTTTTCGATTGGGGGTGGTCAGAATATTGAACAGATGCATGAGCACCATTCAATCGTATAACTCAATGTTTCTAACCACCGTTTACGATGATCCCGGGGTCCCCATCCATGAAGCCTCACGCGGCCTTTGTGATCAAGTCTCTTCGACAGGGTTTTCATACCCTGAGTTTGACAACGCCCTTAACTTTTTCTCACGCACTACCTGTCTCGGCAAATACCACTCACCGTGGGAACGTATCTGATGACATGTGCAACGCATGTCCCAACTAGCGTAGTCTTAGAGTAGTCTATGGAGTAGACCTCGGCTGCCCATAGCTTTGCGCCTGACTTCAGCATTGCTTGTTCCGTTTTTTCTTCTTTCTTTTCATTTTACTTCCCTTTTTTATTGAATATACAATAATACAGGAACGTGGGGGGGGGAGGAGGGCAATCAAAGAGCTGCCATTCAACACACAAATGGGGAAAGTCAAGCGGTAGTGGTGGAATTCGAACACACATCCCTGGGGTGATTATTTGGTGAAGTTACCACCGGACCACCACCGCCGCCCAGACTCATGCAATTCGGGGTTATTTATTATATTTCACACACACACACACACACACAAACCTGAGACCAAATTGTGCGCCAAACAAATCACAGTATAGTGATCTTTATAAAAACATTTGCATGTCGGCCGAATACCGTCAGGGCAGCGGTGTTCGAACACAGACAATCTATTTTTATCTGGTTCCCTTAATGGCAAAATCTGTGCCCCGTAGGACAGTACTGGCTGAACTACTGTATGAAAAACATCATTAGATTGATTCGTGACTTTTCCATCTTCATGTCCTGTATTGCCCACGTGCATTTCCCCCGTTTTTGAGGTTCTTTGTCTGAATCAGAAGTGGTTTAATTAGGCAAGAATCAGAGATTGTTTTGGGTCCATTGGGAATAAAGTTTGCTGTGCTCAGCATGGATCAATGTGGATTGTGCAAAAATTCTCATCCTTTGCAAAACTTCTTACACTTGAGTAACCTAGAAAATGTAGAGCTTTGGTGTTGTTTTCTGGTAAAAAATAAGTTTACAACACTATAGACCAGTCAGACCTGCCACCTGTGAACAACACAGTATTCTGTCTTACAGTTAGTCCGTTTCACATGAACCCCACAGTACTACCTTTCTATTTCAATCGATGGTGAAGTTCATCAATGCGTTGCAGCGTTTGCTATATCGTGAAAAAGGTGTTTTGAGATGAAAAATTTGATCCGTTTTTCTCCCTCGAACAGTGTCATTTCGTTCGGTCATTTCTGAACAACCATTGTACACTTGGTTAGCCATTGTTCAATTCAGTCCCCAGGGCGAGACAGAACAAATGGG